CAATGTTACTGCAATAAACAAAAAATTAAAAATAAATAAATAAATAAATAAATAAATAAATAAATAAAATAATACAAATATTTACCTGGTTGATATAACAGAAAAAAAAATGTAACTTTGATAAAAACAAAAAAAACAAGTGTTATAAGATATAAATCACACGGAAAAAACATTTGCAACTCATGACAGAAAAAGGATTAATATCTACAGAGACAGGAGACAGATTAGGGGCTCTCTGGAGCTGGGGATTTCACTTTTATTACGGTAAAACTGCAGTAAGGCTCAATAGCTCAAATAAAAGCAATTACTTCCCTAAAATTGATATGTCTGTTGTTAAGAGTGTGGCTGAAAATAGTTTGGATCACTAAAAGAAGCTCACTATATCCTGGTTAATATTCATTTATTTACAAATAAACAAATATATATGAAGGTAAATTGTAACCCCATCTGCCCTCTGATCCATTACAAATTCTAACTAGTAAAATTAGAATAAAGTATATCTACTTGTAATAAAGAATGAAGTAATTCCTTATAAATACAGCATCTTAAAAAGTGTTAAACATATGTTTTAAGATAGAAAAAAGACTTACCGTCCAAAATTTTATAAAGCACTGTAAAACTGTTGTAGCCACAAAAAGGCAATATAATAGGGAATACAATAAAAATAGCAGGAAGAATTTATAATTAGAAAATCCCACACAGTTATTCACCCTAGAAGAATAAAGAAAGTCACAGTGTAAAAATAAGACAAATCATAAACTCACATAAACAAAAACTAGAATGATGGTTGACAGGGGCTGGGGGGAGGGGGAAATGGGTAGTAGTTGTTTAACGGGTATAAAGTTTCAGTTTTTCAAAATGAAAAAGTTCTGGAGACTGGTTGCACAACAGTGTGAACATACTTAACACTACTGAATTGCGTACTTAGAAATGGTTAAGATAGTAAATTTTATGTTTTTTTTTTTTTACCATAATAACAATAATAATAAATAAGACAGATCAAAAAACTTAATCATTACTACTGGGAAATGGGTCATTTGGGAAGTAGGGAGCAGTATCTTAATTGAGGATATGTGCTTTTAATAAATTCTATGAGGAATTTGGAATTTTAGTGTTAATTTTTAATATATAATTATTTGGGTTAATAACATCAGAATATATTTTTAAAGGAAAACATTTAATATAAACATGTATATATATATGCACATATATATATAACTAGATCAATCTTGATATCTATGAGTAATTAAACTGACCTTCAAAACTTAGGAATGCTGAAGTAAATCACTCTAAATTCTCTCCTTCCCACTTCTCCACCCCCGTATGTGATTTCCTCTATTTTTCATACATACCAAGGACAGTGATGATCCATCTTAAGAATACATCTAAGAAACAAATAAGCATAAGAAAATCCATGTAGAAAAATTTCCCTAATTCTAATTTCTGATAATTTTCTTTTTTTCAACTTAAATTTTTCCCTTTACAAATATATCTTAGAAAAGCCAACCTAGTAAACATTAGATTAGAGAAAATTTCTGATATTTCCACAAATATTTTCGTAGGTAAGAGGTAATGATGTTTTATACTGGGAATTCAGCTGAGCATAGCCAGTTGCCTTGGACTACATCAAATGACTTTTTTGTGAGTGTGTGTGAGGAAGATCAGCCCTGAGCTAACACCTATTGCCAATCCTCCTCTTTTTTGCTGAGGAAGATTGGCCCTGGGCTAACATCCATGCCCATCTTCCTCTACTCTATGTGGGATGCCTGCCACAGCAGCAGTGCGTAGGTCCATGCCCAGGATTCAAACCTGCGAACCCCAGGCTGCCAGAAGTGGAGCGTGCGAACTTTACTACTACGCCACCGGGGTGGCCCCTCATAGGACATTTTAACATACACATATGGTGCATACAGCTGGTATGCACCATACCATTACATTGGTACATTAGTCACGTCCAGCTTACAAATTAGCTGAGGGACATTAAAGGAAATACAATCCCTCTGTTATTTTAAACACGTTTAAGTCATAAAAATAAAACTTTAGAAGTAAATATGTTAAAAAATTAACACTGATGAGCTTGTAGATGGTTACTTTTTCCACATATTTTATAAAATTCTATCCCATGGATAAGCACTACTGTATTTTTATAATCAGAAAAAAAAATTCCCAAATTTGCCTCCCCATCAGTATATGTAATCTATATTTGTATAAAGTTAGACCACAGATCATCTTAAATAATATAACGAATGAGTAAACTAATACCCGGAAGGTTAAACAGCTTGTCTAACTAAAGTTCAAGAACTAATTGGGATTCCCAAACTAGGGATCTTTTCTTTTACACACTACTTTCTCACAAGTGCACAAGGAATACAAGCTTCCAAATTTTTCTGGGAACAATGTTACAGATGGTAATTGAAAACTATTTTTGTGGTTTGTTAGGTTTTAATATCAGCATTAATAATAAAAATAAGAAAATTTTCATTATGGTCTTTTAAATCCAGGAAATAAAGTTATCTTTCTCCAGGGGGTTACTACTTACTTGCTCATCAATACTACATTAAGCATAAGCATACGAAGTATATGTAAAGAAAGTTCTATCAGCTGGTACAGGAATTGTTATCAAAGGCTACTTCAAAGTATATTCTAGCTTATAGAAATACTTATGTTAGCCCTGCACACATAGCAAACAACAGGAGAGGATGAAGTGTTTTTGCTAAGTATAAAGCATATAAAATGTTCCTTCCCCTTCCATTCTCCCATCACCAATTTCCAGAGCTGGAGGTAAATGAAAGCAATGAGAAACACTTACATGTCACATGCTGAGCAGTGATGCGCACGGTCAGGTTTAATCAACTGACATCTTTCACAATATCTGATGGCTACAGTTAAGAATTAAAAGGAAGTTGTTGAAGGATGTACAAGTTTAGTTAGTTTGACTATAAGATTTGTTTTCATTTCTTTTATAAACAACTCTGGGAAAGTGACCACTAATAATTTTAAAATACCACCAAAATGCATTGGAGAGCTTCTGCAATCAAAATGTCAAGAGAATGAAGAGAACCTTAGAAATGTAGTTTGCCTTGCAACGTTCAGATGAAAAAGTAGATCCAAAGGAAATAAGCGACCTGTACAAGGTCAAACACCTAGTTTAATAACAGAACTCAGATGTACCAAGTCCTAAATAAAGTGCTTTTTCCTACTATACTACAATGTCTACAGTAAAATACCAAAATGAATGTATGTAAACTTTAAGACACCCTATGGGACTTTGTTTTTAAAATTCTAAAACAGCTTTATTTAAGAAAAACAAAAAACACCACCTTTTATCTCCCACCCCTATCCCAGACAAATAGCAAAATTGAGAACACATTTTTGAAAAAAAACTGCACTTCTTCCCACTTGATTCTAATACATGCTACTGTTGCTCAATTTATATGTCCATTCATTCAAGACATACTGGGCACCTGCTGGGTGCCAGATACTGCTCCAGGTGTAAATCCCTGCCTTCTTGGAGCTGACCTTCTGTTGGAGAAGACGGAAGTAATAGCAAGATTAGTTAACAACATAAAGAGTGTATTAGTGATAGGTGCTGATAAGTAAAACACAGCAGGGAAGCAGAAAGGGGTCCTGTAATTTCAGAGACATCTGAGAAACTTGGACATGAAAGAAGCAAATGAGCGAGTCACACAGATATCTGGGAAAAGGAGGACGCTGAGCATAGGGAATAGGCCCTGCGGTGGGAGTGTGCTCAGGCTGTTAAGAAACAGTGAAGGGCTCGGTGTGCTGGAGAAGAGTGAGAAAGAGGGAGGAGAGGAGGTAGAGAGGAACAGGGAGTCAGATCAGGTAAGGCTTATTTTCCCAATTCAGCTCAAGTACTCTGACAAAAAAAAGTTCAGAGTAAAAGTTGGCTGGATAAAGAGCTGCCTCAGAATCTGCATAATGTTCAGAACTTTAGGTTTCGGTTTTTGAAATTTAAATAAGGGACAAAACACAATATAGATCTTTGAGATTCATGAGGGAAATGTCCCAAGACTTCACAAATCAATAAATTCTTTAAAATTACTTTGGATGAATACAGAACAATAAAATTATAGTGAGATGCTAATCTTTCTCCTTATGATGGCCTCTAAAGCAAACAAATCACACTTACATCTTGGCAACAAGACAAATTACCCGGGGTCTTTCACAAATAGTTGAAACTTTACAGATTTACAGCATTTAACTGGTAAATACTTGATCTACTCTAAGTGTGGCAGACTTCTTTTGGGAGTATCTGCCTGGTCTATACGCCACTCTCTCTCTGGGAAAGGATCTCAGACCACTCTTACATTCGCACTGTGTGAATCCACCCTTCCCTTCTAGTTCACATTCTCTCTCCTGTGAATTAAGCATTGGGACAGAGACAGTGAGCTACGTCTGCATACTGCCGGAACCAGGTACCATGTAATGACTATATTTTGCCATGTGGACTGGATAAGAGATGAAAAATCGTTTGTAGGGAGACAGTGTCAAAAATGAAACAGATGCGCAGGAACAAGCAGAAACAGCTGCAGAGTCCTTTGACTTTCCAATTCTGGCTCCAGTTCTTTCTGGTAGCTCTGCCCTTAGGTTACAGGAAAGATCCACCAATTCCTCATACCAGCCCATATTTTTTGGTAGTTTTTATAGGGGGAGGAGGAGTTAAAAAGCTTAAGTTGTTGTCTGTTTCTTATGGTCCTAAGTCCTAACAAACATGGTAATAACACAGAAAATAGGTTCAAATAAGAATTTTAAATTAAGTATACCCTCTAAAAGTGGATGGACCATGTCATGTGTCTTTTTGGGAGTCTTTTTGAAGACTGTCTTCGAAAAGTCCTTATAGAAGGAAATTTGGCAGTGTTTATAAAAAATTTAAGATGTGTATGCTCTCTGACCCAGGATTTTTACTTCTAGAAAATTTTTTCTATAGACATGTTCACTACAACATTTTTTTTTAATAATGAAACACTAGGAATAACCTGAATTATGAAAATGGTTAAGCATTTTATGGTATATTCATACAGTGGAATACTATGCAGACCTGAAGAGTTTTCCATACAAAATACACATGTACCCTAAATTGGAAAAATGCAAATACATTAAATGAAAAAAAGCAAACTGTGGAATAGTTTGAGTATGTGGTGTGTTTCACATCTCTAAAGGGAAAAAGAATATATAGTTTTTTCTCTTTACATATCCCACTAAAATGCACCCACCTTCCAGATGTGAATTAACAGATAAGAGAGACACAAAGTGTTATTTTGAAGCAATGTGAGAAATTACACACCTGTTAGAAGGCACTATCCAAGTAACCAAATTTGTATTGATTACTATCTATCCACTCTAATTGTTAAAAAATGTTACTTAATTGTTTATAAGTTTTGCAATACTCTGTTATGTATAAAAAATTCCTGCAAGGATATACAAGAGAGGGTGGTAACCTCTAGAGAGCAGTGCCAGGGGTGAGGGTAGACTCACTTTTCATTTGGGGCCCTTAAAATTTTTTTTTAATCATAGGCATGTTCCTTTAAGATGAAAGGAATTTACACAAACATCCACTTATTAAATGAATAAACTACACTTTATTGAGGGCCTTCTATAATACCTTGCTTGGGTTGGACACCAGGAAGGTAAAACCATAACGTAGAAAAAGGAGAGCTATAAGGGACCTGAGAGAGCTCCTAGTCCAATCACTCCATTTTACAGATTTTAAACACCCCAAAACCTAGAGAGAAAGTAATCTGCCCAAGGTTATATAGCTAAATGAGTAGTAAAATCAGGATCAGAAGCCAAGTATCTTATTTTCCTTTTCCTCTAAACTTCCTCCACTCAAAATTATGACATTGCCCTGAGATGAGACTAAACCAAAGAGACCTTTCAAGAAGACCTGTTAAGGATCTCGATGACTCAGTAGATAGAAGAACTGAAGTAAAAGTAGCAATCAAAGAAAACTTCAGTTTCTAGTATAGGGTGGCTAGAAGGATGCTGCTGAGAACGACAGAAATAAGCTTGATTGTGGGGGGAGTGGGGTAAGGTGTTTTTCTTTCATTCATTCAACAAATATTTAGAGTTTCTACCATGTGACAAATACTGCTTGATGCTGAGAATACACAGGTGAACAAGACAGACTTGCCTCTTGCCCCCATGGTATTAGGTTTTGAATTGATGAATCCAGTTGCGTTTGAGTTTGAAAGGTCTGGATAGTAGGTCACTCAAGCACAGCTATCCTGTGGAAGCTGGAAATACACATACAAAATAGAGGAGGATTGGCACAGATGTTAGCTCAGGGCGAATCTTCCTCAAGCAAAAAGAGGAAGATTGGCGGGGCCAGCCCGGTGGCGCAAGCGGTTAAGTGCGCGCGCTCCGCTGCGGCGGCCCGGGGTTCGCTGGTTCGGATCCCGGGTGCGCACCGACGCACTGCTTGGCAAGCCATGCTGTGGCGGCGTCCCATATAAAGTGGAGGAAGATGGGCACAGATGTTAGCCCAGGGCCGTCTTCCTCAGCAAAAAAAAAAAAAAAAAAAAAGAGGAAGATTGGCAACAGATGTTAGCTCATGGAGAATATTCCTCAGCAAAAAAGAAAAAAAAGGAAAAAAAATATATATAAGTCAGACTCTATGATGGGAAAAATTAGTGAAGGAGAGAAAACTAGGGAGATCAAAAAGTGTATAAAGAGCTATTCTGGAGAACACCCAGGAATAGATTCATTCAACAAATACCTACTGAGCACCTATTTAGTGTGACCCTGTGTTAGGGACCATGGGAGAAATTCCTGACTGCCAGAAGTTTAGAATAAAGTCGAGGAGGTGAGATGAACAAAAGTAACTAGAAGGCAGTGATTTGTGATCTACAAGGTAAGAATTTGAGAAGTTCAGAGAAGACTTTAAAAATCACTTCTTATTAAAGTGAACAGAGGGGCCAGCCTGGTGGCGCAGTGCTTAAGTGTGCGCACTCTGCTTCGGCGGCCCGGGGTCCGCAGGTTTGGATCCTGGGCGTGCACGGACGCACCGCTTGTCAAGCCATGCTGTGGCGGCGGCCCATATAAAGTAGAGGAAGATGGGCACAGACGTTAGCCCAGGGCCAGTCTTCCTCAGCAAAAAGAGGAGGATTGGGATCGGATGTTAGCTCAGGGCTGATCTTCCTCATGCACACAAAAAAATAAATAAAAAATAAAGTGAATAGAAATGGTTGAAAAGGGGTAGACAGTGAATTAAAACTTTACACTGGATTTAGAGAGGAGAAAATAATCGTTCTAGGCAGAGAAAAAGACAAAAAGGAAAAAAAAGGTCGGGCAGGACAGAGTGTGTTAGCACCGAGCTGGCACAACAAAACAGTGCGGGACAAAGTGAGAGAGGGACCTCGATGGATCCAGATTGTGGATGGAAGGTTTAGAAAGACTCATTTTCTTTCCGAATAGGTAACAGTATGTCCACATGGTTCAAAAAAGCACAAAAGGAATTTAGTGGAAAGTCTGCCGTCCCTGCTGCTCAGCCCCCATGCCCCCTGTGAAGACAGCTCCATTACTTTCGCTAATCTCTGGTCTATGAAAGGTCCATTTTCTATGACATGTATTTCTGTAATTTTGTTTTTTAAAGAATGAATGGGTAGTATTTCTATAATAAGAAAAAAAACCCCAAAGTTTGGAATTCTAAGCAGTAGAAATGCAGTATAAAATGATGCTCCAGAGCAGGGACTCTGCCTGTGGTCAGAAGATCAAGTATGAATTCAGACCTTGCTACTCGGGGACTCTGGGGACCTCACTGTGCCTCACTTCTTCATCTCTAAAATGGGGACAAGCGTAGCACCTATCTCAGAGTTGTTCTGAGGGTTAAACAACCACCACTAAAGTCCTTAGCATAACACTGGGGTAATATTCAACAGATGAAGGTGTTATTCAGATTAGAGGAAAGCCATTATAATTAATGAACAGAAGTAAAGCTTTAAGGGTAAAGATTTTACATCAGTGGCTCTTTGGGGCACAAGTACTGCTCTGAAAATCAGATGGTCTTGCCATGAATAGGCTTCTTCAAAAACTACCCCAAATTTTGCATATAATCTCAGAGCTCATAAATTCTCTGAAATCTTAGACTTTTGGGTTAAAAATATCTAATCTATAGAACTACAACTACTAACAATTATTGTAAATCAGATATTTCATAATTAAATATAAAAAAGGATTATTTTAAATTAGCTATCATTTACTGAAAATTTATTATTATATACCAAGATCTACACTAAGCGTCTATCTCATTTACGTATGTCATTTAATACTTCCACTAACCCAGAGACATAGATATCATTATCCTCATTTTAAAATGAGGAAACCAGGGCTTAGAAAGTGTAAGTGACTCTCACTAGTAATGAAAAAGCTGGGGTTTGATCTGAAATCCATGTTTTCATTCTATACAGTAATATAATAGTTATGCAGAAAGGACAGTATTAAATGCACGAAAAATTAAAAAGTCAGTCAAATATACCCTCCTAAAATCTTGTCCAAGTTTTACATTTTCTTAAGTCACAATCTGTACGTAACTACACAAAGTCAGAGCTGCCTTTACTTCCCCTTAGAGCTGAGAAGCACAGTGGGTTTGGGATCCACAGCACCTGGATTTCAATTCCTGTTTTCTCACATACTATCTGCACAACCTTGAACAAGTTACTACCTGCTCTGTGTCTCAGCTTCTTCATCTGTAAAATGGGGACAACAGTTCCTACCTCATAGCTTGTTGTGAAGCCTACATGAGTTCATATGTGTAAAGCACTCAGAACAGAGCAATTGTTAGCTACTGTTATCATCTCTATTTGAATTAATTAATGAGGTATATAATACATGATTTAAAACAATTTCCTGTATTTAAATGACCGGCCTGGCCACTCATAGACTCATCCCTGTCACACAGCTCTACCCCTGAGAAGAGGACACACAGCAGGCACGTATCTCAGTAGAGGCAGTGGGACAGTGGAAATACCAATGGCTTCAGAACCAGACAAACCTGAGTTCAAATTCTGGCTCTCTGAATATTAGCCTTATAACCTTGAACAAGTTTCTTCCCCTTTGTGTCTTTACTCCTCCCCATTCTAGGTTAACACATTCTTGATTTTTTAAAACTTACTCAGTGATGACAAACAATATTTAAATTCAAACCAGAATTTCCAAATGATGGTTTTACTAAGAATAACAATAGAAATTTTCAGCCACAAAGACTGAGTTGGAAAACAAAAGAATATGCAGCAAAAAGAGACTCATATTAAAGTGACGCCTTAAAAAATCTATATCAATATATATATACATATCTATACCATAGAAGATACAGAACACAGGAAAATCTTGTTCTGGCAATCACAATATCCACTTAATAGTCAAATCATGAAAATATATCTTGGCAGAAATGACCATATTTTAAAAATTCTGTGGAAAGGGAAGCTTAAGATTTGTTTTCCTTACTCCTTGAAGCCGACGTGGTGTAGATAGGTAAGTCCCTTGCTGCTCTTCTCAAAATTTCTTGTTGTCTTTCTTGGCTGAATTCCTTTTCATAACGTTCCTTTTCAGAATTGGACAAGTAGAACTATAAAAGGAGAAATAACTATTAATTCTTTTAAATCCCATGATTACTAACTATCACACTCAGAAAAATAAAGTCTTATCCAGGATAGAAAAAAACAAAAACATTTCTTCTATGAAGGCAAAGCTTGTCTTCAAATTTCTTCAAGAAGCTAAATCAAGTACATTTTAACAAAACTACATACCTTTGACAGATTAGAAAATATATGCCCTCCATACTAATCATGGGAAAGAACATGAACTAAATATTTTTGCACCTTTGTTTTTCACAGAGAAAATTAAATTCCTCTACCAAAAAGGGCTTAATATATATGTTCTATTAGTAAAAATGTTGGTGTTTGAAAGTGTCAAGAGATTTTTAATTTTTGGAAGGATGTCCAAAGATTCACTCGCTTTGTGTAACAGGCTAAATCATAGGCACGCGGTCCTATGGTTTTCTGGCCACATGTCTAAATGAGGTCAACAAGTGATTCTTTCACTATGTTGTAGCTTTTAAAAAGCTAACCCATTGGGTACTTTCTCCAGAATTACTAAGGATTGTCAAGGCAAGCAGAGTCTCCTTTCTCATGGAGAGATTCGTTATGGAGTTGTTCCTGGTTTCCATTTCTTAAGTTTTTATTCCCATGGTGTGACCAGCCTCTAGTTCATTTGTTTAAATTGCATTTTCCCTCCAAAGGACTTGTGAAGTTGCTCTCTTTTCACGTCATCCCAGCATCTCAAGGACCCTCAGCTTTATGCCTCTATTTCACATAACTAGGAGCTTTAAGTCTCTGTCAGTCTTTATTTCACAGAATCTTTTTAAAACTAAAAATGGCTTGAGACTTGCTCTTGATCATGTTTATATTGTAAAAATACTGTTCCTTAGTTTTTATTTACATATAGGGTTTTGCTTGAAAAGGCCTAAGGAATCATGGCTGGAATTTTATCTTTTCATTAAGTATTTTGGTCTACCTGCTAACTCAAATACCAAAACTTCCCATACTCTTGATGCCTCATCATCAATAACAGTATTAGCTTATCGATGTAGCCTATTCTGTTATAAACAAGCCAACAGTTTGGCATAGTGGAAAAAGCTCTGGGTTGAGGAAACTGTGATCTCAAGAGGCTTATGGAATTTTCTAAGGCTGCATAATTATTGGCAGAGCTGAAATACAAGCCTTTTGAGCTGTACTCTAGTATGTTTCCCTCAATACTGCTAATGTAAAATAAATGTTCTTGCTTTTTACAGACTGTTACTTTAACCAGACCAAAACACCATGGTTTAGGAAGTAGAAGAATCTATTTAGATTACCTCACCTGGCTCCCACAATCAAATCTTGATAGCACAAGAAATCCCCAAATTACTTGTAAGAGAGAACTAACAAGGACAAACGAAGGGGACAGAAAGAAGTCAGACAAGATTCACACCATCTGAGAGCTGAGACTTTGGAGGTCACTATCTAACCTCCCAGGCAGGCAGGAACCTGCAGGCAACATTTCTGAGATCCACCCCGTCTTGAATACTTTCAGGTATAGAAACACTTTGCTACTTTGCAAGATGGCCCATGCTCTTTGAAGAGAACTGTAATTTGTTAGAAAGTTCTTCCCTGACATGACACATCTCTGAAACATTCATAGTAGAGAATAAAAATCATACGGTATGATGTTAAATACACATTTGGATAGAAGATGTTCTAATCAAATTTTACCTTTTCCTTGTAAAATCTGAGCAGATCTCCCTGGCTGTCCTTTTCTAGCCTGTGGTAGTATCCCAGGCCTCAACATCATTACTTTTCCTTAAGAACTAAGGTTATAAATTATGAAAAGCTTAAACCAAATGAAAATCTAAAGAGAGACGAGAATTTTAGATGAGGAATAGAACAAAATTTAAAATGGATTAGATTTTTGAAATTATTACGAGAAGTCTACTTTTCATTAAAAACTACCAAACAGAACTCAAAAACTATGAAATGCCATTATCTTTAATTCAGTGTTCAGATGGTTCAATTTTATATATACTAAATATTTAAGGGGATCCAAAAGATGAAGAAAAATATAGCTCTTACTTTCAAAAGTATATTCCTACAGTCTAGTAGGAATGTTAGCCATGTAAATAAAGAATTACAAATTACAAATCAGCAGAATAAGTAGAACAGTAACAATACATTACAAAGTATGATGAGAGCTCCCTTGGGGTGGGGGTGGGGGGCTGTCAATGAAAGTGTCTTGGAAGAAGTGTTACCTAAGCTGAGTTTTGAGAGATAAACAGGAATCATCCAGGAAGACAAAGAGGGAAAGGGAAGCTTGGTAAAGGGATATGGAAAGACGTGAAAACAGTATGGGCAATGCATTACTCAGCACAGAGTTCCAGGAAGAAGCAGCAGAGATGAAGTTAGTAAGATCTTAGTTCAGGCAGGGTCTTGTATACCATGCAAATGAGCATGACCTTTATCTTGTAGCTGACTGGCAACCTCTGCAGGATTACCAGAGAAGTGATGGGACCATATTTTCTTTTTAGAGAGATGACACTTAGTGATGGAAGATGCCTACTAGCTCTTCACACGCCGCCTCCTCCTCCCCATTCATTCATTCATTCATTCATTCAAATATTTAGCAATCTGGCTATTATACACTAGGTCTGTTTCTAGGCAATGGGGATACAGCAATCGACAACAAAGACTCTTCCGCTAAAAAGCTTATATTTAGTGAAAGAGAGAACTATAAAGGTCTCACCTTAAATGCCATTTCCTCAGAGAAGATTTCTATCTAAAGCAGTTTTACCCTAATAGCTTTTACTCTATTATGCTCAACCACATCATCATGTTCTTTTTCTAAAGTTACCTGAATTTATCACAATTTATAATTACTGTATTTGTTTGTTTACTTATCATCTGTCTCTCCCTTTCAAATATAAGGACCGTGTATGTCTCGTTCTTCTTTTTATTCCCAGAGCCTAGCACAGTCTGACAAAAAGTAGGTGCTCAGTAAGTGCTTGCTGACTGAAAGAATGAAAAAAAATACCCATATTTATAACTGAACTTCCCTAAAAATGTATAGTTTTGCTTTTTAGACTCAATCAGTTTGCCAAGGTCTGGTCCCCAAGTGCTGCTCTAACCTCTGAGTTTACAGGGTCCTTTTAATCTAGTTACTTGGGCACCACCTCATTGCTTTCTAATGACTTATAAAGAGCTATCTCAGTCAGCACACTGTGTGCTTATTTAGAAGGAGAACCTTATATTGCTGTTCTTGGTTGTCATGGCAGCTTAGCTTAGCTGGCCCTTGATGATTTAATAATTCATTCATTCAGTAGTTATTAACACCCACTATGTGCTAGATAGTGGGGAAAAGGATACGGCGGAGAACACGATCGAAATGATCTCTACCCTCAAAAAACTGACAAGTTAATAAGGTGATGCATACAAGTAAACAGGCAATTACAAAGCTAGATGATAAGCTCTATGACAGGGAAGGTAGAACCTGCCATAGCAGGGCCACTGGATGCAGGCTTGGGCAGTCAGCTGAACTCATACGAACAGGCAAGCATGAAGGATGGAGCAGACAGAAAGGCTTAAGTACTGCACCAAATGCTAAATGGATGCAATGTACCAAAAAGATCACATTTAGATGGCACTTATTATGTGCTAGGCATTCTTCTAAGACCTTTACATATATTATTAACTATATACTATTACTATCAATAATATCAATCACATATATTATTAATCTAGTCAATGCTTACAATAATCCCATAAGGTATGTACTCCTATCATCTCATCCTCAGAGGAGAGACCTGAGGTGCAAACAGCCAGGGAGAGTCTCCAGCGTCACACAGCCAGGAAGTGGCTGAGGTGTGAGCTGAACCCAGGCAGTCTGGAGCCAGAGTCTGGGTTCTTAACCTCCACACTATACTGCTTCTCAAAAGTAGGACCAATTGTTTCTCTTATCCTGTTTTTTTTCCTATAATGAGAACTATTTACTTTTACATATGCTCTGTTTTCAACAGCCATCACTACTAGTAATTGATTACATAAAATTAGGTCCTTTTCAACTTAGAGATTAAGATACGGATGGCAGTTTGTAACATAACTTTAACATTTGACTAATTATTACCAAGTATCTGAAGAATATATTTAAAGAAACACTAAGTTTGATTAATGGTTTATATTACCCCTTAAAACAAAAGTGCCCAAGAGAAAAAAATGAGCAAAAGACTGGCATTATCTACTAAGGCTGAATGTACACACCACATATGATCCAGCAATTCTACTCCTAGCCATCTACCCACAGGAACTGTATATATACACGTATGTATGTATGTTTGCATGTATGTATATGCACTAGAATGTTCACAGCAGCCCTATTTGTAACAGCCTGAAAAGGGAAGCTACCCCAATGCCCCTGCCTATCAACCGCAGACCAGGTAATAAATAGTTATCTACCACAACTGAATACTAAACAATAATGAGAATGAATGATCTACAACCATATGCAACAACACAGATGAATCTCACAAACAGATTGGTAATGAATGAAGCCAAACACACAAGCATACATACTGTATGACTCCACTTATGTAAGGTACAAAACCAGGCAAAATCAATCGATGCTACTAGAAGGCAGGAGACTTGTTTTGCATGAAGTGAGTGATCGGAAGGGGGCATGAGGAGGCTTACTGGATGCTGGTAATGTTCTGTTTCTTGAACTGAGTGGTGGCTACTCACGTGTGTTCAGTCTGTGAAAATTCAAGTGTACACTTATGTATACTTTTCTGCATATATATTCTTCTATAAAAAGTTAAATGGAAGTTGATATTATTTTTAAACATATGGTCAAGGGGTTGGCCCAGTGGCGCAAGTGGTTAAGTGTGCGCACTCCGCTGCAGCGGCCCGGGGTTTGACGGTTCAGATCCTGGGCATGCACCGACGCACCTCTTGGCAAGCCATGCTGTGGCAGCGTCCCAGGATAAAGTAGAGGAAGATGGGCATGGATGTTAGCCCAGGGCCAGTCTTCCTCAGCAGAAAAAAAAAAAAGAAGAGGATTGGCAGATGTTAGCTCAGGGCCAATCTTCCTCACCAAAAAAAAAAAAAAAAGGTCTATAATTTTTACTGAATTTTGATGAATTTAATGTCAAGGAAAATAATTATATCATCATCATCTAATGTTTGAGTGCTAACCATGTGGCAGGTACTATGTTAACAGCTTTATGTGGGGCCAGCCCCATGGCTTAGTGGTTGAGTGCGTCCGCTCCGCTGCTGGCGGCCCGGGTTTGGATCCCGGGCGCTCACCGACGCACCGCTTCTCCAGCCATGCTGAGGCCG